CAATGTCCTGGTGCCTGAGAGAAAAGTGAGCACTCTCCTTGCCCCCAAAGCTGGTAGCCTTAATGAGAGAAGGAAGGATTCCTTCTTGACCCCCAACTGGCAAGTAGCCAAAAGCCTGAAGTATGGGATTACAGATGCCTTCCATGCTGCAAGAAATGTTTTTATACACCAACCTGGAAACCCCAATATCTGACTCCCTGTCATACTCACAAGTTGGTATGATAGAGTTCCCCATCTTGTCACATCATCCCTGTTTCTATTCTGAGACAGTTCAGTCTTAGAATAGAAACAGATGACTAAAAGGGACCATGGAAGGTCATCTAAATTCTCTGCTCATTAAACTCTACAAATGACCTTTTATACTCTTATAGAGTGTTTTGTCTGCAGCTGAGGAGTTAATGGGGATCTGAAGCCACAAGAGATGTTAGAAGTAGTGTCTCTGAGATGCTTCTGGTGAGGTCTAGTGCTAAGCATCAAAAGTAGTTTCCTAAACCAAGTTGAGACAAGGTCATTTGAATTTGTTTCTGTTGCGCAGGTGATTGCAGTCTCTTTGGAATTACATTCCCTTGCAGTGCAAATGTGAGGGCCCTTTTCTACCATGCAGTTTTGTGCTTTGAGGGAGGTTGCACAGGACTAAGCAAGGAAACAATTAATTCAAGTCTTTTTCTTCTGCTAGCCTGAAGTTAATATTTCTGTTTACTTCATAACACTGATAACTGCCTCATTTCAGTTTCAGGCAGAGAATAGAATTCTTGTCTCTAGTGTGGCGCACAGTTTTGCCCATTCTGCCAAAGGAGATGAACTTGCCAGGTCTCTGCTTTGCTAGGCTCTGACCAGTACACCTACTTATTCCAGATTTTGAGAAGGAGCTTTGAATTCAAGACCCTTAAGTCAACATTTTCTTGCTGTCCAGCAAATACCAATAAATGTGTAATGCACTTGGCAAATGCATTGAATTAAGTGGTAGAAGGAGCTTCTGTGTAATTCAGTGTATCACATTTAAATCCTACTGGAAACCCATACAGGGAGTGCTGTGGTTCCATAAACAAAGAGCTTGTCCTGCCAGTTTAGTTTGATGTGGCAATGAAACTTATTTGTAACAGAATTTTGCTAGTCTTTGATTCTTTCAGAAAACTTTTACAATAAACGTTAATATTGGTAGGTTAAGGGTGTTCCAGAGTTTTGTTCCACAGAGTTCATGTTTCTCCTATTGAAATACATGCCTATATGCTTAGCTTTTTAAGAAAGGTGACAGCTTACAATCAAAATGTGTGCTTGGCTAGGCTGTATATGTCTGAAGGAGTTCCTCCTGCATATCTACCTCTGCAAGGCACTGAGATGCTGCAGTGCATTTCCCTGACAAATACTGCAACAAAATGAAATCTTTGCGTGGAATGAAGAAGGGAAAGAATGGTCAAGACAATGGGCTAGGACTCAAGTGGCACTGCTTATTGGACTCTTCCTTCATAAAGGTGCCAGATTGATTTAAACTAAACTATTTGGAGATAGTGACTAGTTTTCGTTTTATATATTCTGTGTCTCCATTTCCTGTATGTAAAAGCAGACAATAGTTCCTGCATCATGTGTTACCATGTAGGTACATTCACTCCAGCCAAGTACTTGGATAGAGTGCTAGTGGGCATCTTAGAAGCACCTGGCTCATTGCTCCCCTTTGTGAGCTGTTGGAGGAGCCACTCCCACCTTCCAGCCTTGGGATTGTTGGGGGACACACAAGCCCTTTTGAGACTTGGAGACTGCAACATGTGCCCCTTAGGGTTTGGAAAAAACATTTTGATACTTTGAGGGGCTGGCTATTCTTGTTCATGGCCCATTCTTAAGTATGGCAGTACAAGCTGGGGACATGAAAAGTGCCTTGTCCTTTGCTTGAGAAAATCATTGTCCCTACACCTGATGCAACAACATAAGATTCTCAGTTCACATGGTCCTTCAGTATAGCCTGTCTAGCAGTAGTAATCTGGGAATTCCTTGCTGCCAATGTCTAAGGATGATGCATGATATATTGAATGCTTTATCCTTGTTTTCAGGGATGCAATCCCAATTAGAGGCTGACAGCATAATTTCCTCTAATTAGGCTTTGCTATCTTAAGAAAAATTGTAGTATGTAACCACATCATTACCAAGCTGAGATTCATTTGTTTGAGGGTGTGGATGGATGTGACGTTTAAAGCACTTTAAAGGGGAAGCAGAAAGGTGTACATACCCTTTTGAAGTGCTCTGAAAATGGCGGAAGTGCTCCAGAAATAACCCTGAAGGAAACCATTACTATTTGCAAATGAAATGTTTCCTGTTACATGTAAATGCTGTATAGAGCATGACAGGGAGGGCTCCATCCTCCAGTACCCTATAGTGCTCTGATCCAGTCCTTCTGATCTACTCATCCTTCCTCCCCCCCCCACCCACCTGTGTGCCATGAGGCAATTGGGGAAGCATGGCAATGCAGCTGCATTTAAAGGACTTCAGAAGTTACATCTCTTCTTATACCAAGCCCTGTTTTGTACCAGGATAGCTGGTTTACAGAGAGGAAGGTGAAAGGGCATTGATGCCAATATAACTAAACCGATGTCCTTACTGGGGTGAGGTGGACACACTTGAAGGGAGAGAGAGGCTGTAAATAAATTTAGACAGACTACAAAAGTGGGCAGATGAGAATAGGATGGGGTTCAACATAGACAAATGCAGGGTGCTGCACCTTGGGAGAAGGAATCCACAGCATACATACAGGCCGGGGAGTTCCCTTCTTGAAAGCACAGAGGCGGAAAGGGATCTTGGAGTCATTATTGACTCCAAGATGAACATGAGCTGCCAATGCCAGACCACTCAAGCTGGTCCAGAGTGGTGATACTCCCCCTCTATGCGACTTTGGTCCGGCCGCAGTTGGAGTACTGCATCCAGATCCGGGCGCTGTACTTCAAAAGGGATGTGGCCAGCCTGGAGAGGGTTCAGGGGAGGGCCACCCGCTTGGTGAGAGGGCAGCAGGACAGGCCCTACGAGGAGAGATTGAGGGACCTGAACCTGTTTAGCCTCAGCAAGAGGAGGCTGAGGGGGACCTGGTGGCTGCCTACAAACTCATCAGGGGAGATCAACAGCAAATGGGTAGAGTCCTTTTCTCCCAGCGCCACCTGGGGTGACAAGGAACAATGGTAATAAGCTGATGGAGAATAGGTTTAGGTTAGAGATCAGAAGGCAATATTTTACAGTTAGGGTGGCCAAAATCTGGAACCAACTTCCCAGGGAAGTGTTCCTCGCCCCTACCTTGGGCAAATTCAAGAGGAGGTTGGATGATCACCTGTCTGGGGTCTTGTGAACCCAGCACTCATTCCTGCCTGTGGCAGGGGGTCAGGCTAGATGATCTGTTCAGGTCCCTCCTGATCCTAGCTACTATGATACTGCAGATCTTATTGTAGTCAAGGCCTTAGTCTCCTGCAGGTCAGGCAGATGTGGCCTCTTCCACAAGAATGACAAAAAGTGGTATCCCAGACAGGTCAAGATAGTTATGGTGGTTGTATATGAAGGAAAACTTTTCCTGAGTGAGTGTTTTATCAGCTTCTGTAATGCTTGTGGAAGTTTCAAATTCTGTATCTCTGTAGGCTACGGGGAGTTGAAAGCCCTTTTCAAAAATAACTTAAAAGGTTTAGAAGTGAATCCAGATCTAGTGGGTACAGGGTGTCGTTAATGCTGCAGAAATTGCTTTCCAAGTTGTGGAAGCAAAACTGTTTAGGCAGAGGTGGTAATCCTAAAGGTTCTGCCTTCTTAAAAGGACAGAGCCCTGTGAGGTTTTCTTTTAGCAATAGTCCCATTTTAATTGCTTCTGTTTCTAGACATAATATGAATCTAAATAATAATAATACTACCTCTGAGTGTGTAGCACCCCTCTGTAACAGAGATTCTCAAACTGTGCAAAGAGCTGGCTGGTTATGTGGCTCTGGTTGCCCTTGTCTCCACTTTTGTGTCATTCAGAAACAAAATGAAGAGCAAAAAGCATTTCCTGCATTACAGCCGACTTAAGAATCCATGACAGTACCTAACCAGTAGGGCTATATGAAGCTTTGGTTGCTGATTCGATTCGGTGGAGGTTCTGCCTGTTTCGGCAGCCGAATCTCCGAATTGAATTGGAGACCCTTTAATCTCTCCAAATAGAATCAGAACCCTCTGAAGCGATTTGGAGAGATTCAATGATTCAGACATAGACACAGCTTTAAATGTTTTTTCTACATACCTCAAAGTACCAGGCAGCTCGTGAACTCTGAGATGGTGGGGCAGATGGAGCATCCCACGGGAGCATGGGGGGGTCCTCAGTGTGCTGGGCAGCAGACCCAGAAGTGGACCAGAAGCACTAATGGTCTACTTCTGGGTCCGCAGCGGAGCGCACAGGGGACCCTTGTCCCCTGGCTCAGTGACTGGTGCCTCCTGAGTCTGGGGGGGGGCCCCCTGGGGTCTCCCCGCAGCTGATTGCCAAGCCAGGGAGGCACGGGGGGGAGGGGTCAACCGCCAAGCATGTGGGGGGCCCCCTGAGCTCCTGTGGGACATGCCATCCGCCCCACCATCCCAGTGTTCATGAGCCACACCTGGTACCTCAAAGTATGTAGAAAAAATATTTAAAGCTGTGTCTATGGCTGAATCACTGATTTTTCTGAATTAGCATCAAGTCTTCAGATTCGGATTCAGCCTAATTGAATTGGGACAGCGATCCAAATCAACTAATCAAATCACTGTCCCCGATTTGGGCCATATCCGAATCAAATACAGTCTGTTTTGCACACCTCTATTAACCAGACTTTCCACATAAGTAGTTGCTGCAACTGCCAGAGATATTTATGCCACGGGGACCCAAGACCATCTCTGTCCAAACATAATGCAGCCTGTGAACAGTTTGAGATCTCTCCTGTGGCTGAGTCTGGGGTCCAATGCCTTGCGTTTTGAGGAGCTATTTTTGCCTGGGCCTGTTGTTTGATTCAGCATCTGGCTTTCCCATTTTGCAGGTGTCGATACTTGGCAGTTCAGCTGTCTCCAGCGATCCCTGTCTTTGCAGTGGTCCTTTTCTTGTTTGCAATGGCCACACTCCTGCGGACAAGCTTCAGTGATCCTGGGGTGATCCCAAGAGCTCTGCCTGATGAGGCAGCCTTCATTGAAATGGAGATTGGTGAGTGGAAAGCTTTCAGGCAGCAGAGTCTGTGTTGGTGAGGAGCTGGTGTACCTTCCCTGCTGCTCTTGGGGTAGAAGAGTGTGTGTATGTGCCTGTGGCAGGCCAGTAGGGGGCGCTCCTGCATTGAGCCACCCACCTCACTGCGCCTGACCACCTTCCGTGGGGGCAGCTCACGTTTGGCCGACCCCCTTCCTGGAGCACACCACTAGCCTAGGGTTCCACTGCCACCACCCAGGGCTCTGGACTGATTCTGGCTCTGCACACCCTGGGAAACGCAGGCCTAGTAGCCCTCAAGGGTATTTGATTCACTTTCAGAACTTGGGATGCTTCCCTCAGTCAGGAGCGCAAGTAGCGGTCTCCCTTAGTCAGCCGAACCAAGGGGACCCCCAGGCATAATCTAGACCCACTCCCAATAAGTTTCCCACACTAGGTACAAAGGAGAAATTTATTGGTTACAAAGGGTAAGGTTAGAATAGGGTACAGGGTAGAGCAATATCAGAGAAATCCCGTAGAGCAAACTCCCCTGGCTGGGTAGCCTTTGATCACGCATCTGAGTTACTGCAAGTTATATATCTAGTTAGATCTCAGGTAGCTTACTCACAAGTATCATCCGGAGGCAGGCAATTCCTTGATCATGAGTTTTGAGAGAGAGAGCAAGTTTCAGATGGTTCAGCTCTTCTCCCTCTCTGAGTGTTCCTCGTGGCTGCTGCCCCATCCTCCTGGACAGTCCTTAACTTATATAGCCCTTGTGACCTCACTTACCTGGTCTAATGGAGGCCACCACCTGTTGGCTGTCAGCCAACCAATTTGAAATACATCACTAGTTGCCAGGCAGACTGGCAGTCTCTAGCCCACCAAGGAGGAAGCCCCTCACCCAGGTATGTGATACTAGTCATGTAGACAGAGGGAGCAGGTTTCCCCCTCCCTCAGGAATGTATCCAGCTCAGGTTACCTAAAGAGATAGGGTAAAGGTGTGTTTCCTCTGCTGGGCCCACCCTACTGAAATTGTCACAGAACAGAGTTTTGGGGGAGAAACAAAGGTGGCCTTCTGCCACAGTGCCTGGTGCCTACTGAGTTGGTGTCAGGAGTGTGTTGACATCATGTCTCCTGCTGACCTGATAAGAGATGAGTGCCCAACAGCAGTATGAGGTGGCTGAGGGAGTGTGCACTAGAAATACTTTTATGTGCCAGTGCTGTGTGCCTGGCCCAAATGAGGAGACAAACTCATATGGCTTCTTTCCTCTCCTCCTGCAGCAGCACGCGAATGCCTCTGACTGGGAATGGGAGCAGGAGCTGGGGAGGGGAATGACTGCAATTCATTCTGCACACAGGCCCAGGCCTGTCTTAGCAGTAATTTGCCTTCACTCCAGGTCCCACGCACTTGAGGTTGGCTTTGGAATCAGTGAGCACAGCTGCAGCTATTGGCACAGCAGGCTCTCTTGGCCTTCATGGTAGGGATGGGATGGGATGGGATGGCAGTTGTTCCTAAAATAACCATCCTGATCCTGGCTTGCTCTTGCTTTCAGAGGCGACGAATGGAAGTGTGCCTCAGGGCCAGCGCCCACCCCCACGTATTAAAAACTTCCAAATCAACAACCAGATTGTGAAGCTGAAGTATTGCTACACATGCAAGATCTTCCGGCCTCCCCGTGCTTCACACTGCAGCATCTGTGACAACTGTGTGGGTGAGGAAAAGAGCCCAGTGTCCCTGTCCAGTAGGAGACTTCAGAGTAACAGCCATACCTTAAGCTGCAGCACCAGGGACATAGGAATTGACATAGTATAGCAGGGCTGATTTCTGTCTATCCACAGGCTTATGGCCACCCAATTACTGTGGAGGAGGAAGGGGTCTGATCTGAATGTAGAGGGAAGAAAAGCCAGTTTGGTGAAAGGAAAGGGGACAAGGACCTGAGACTTGAACTGGAAGCCAGGCTAGTGGGGAGAGGCTGGAACCAAGGTGGGGGAAGAGTAGAGGAGAATGAGATTGGGAGTTGGTAAGGGAAACTAGAGTGGGAACCTCCGGACTGAGACTGGGTTCCTAGGAGGGAGATTATAGTAAAGATTGAGGGGGAAGGTGCAGGGGGAGAAACAGACTGGATGAAAAGCCTGGGAGGGAGAGTGGGATGTAGTGTGGAGGCCTGAGGGGAGAAAGATTAAATGAGGAACCTGGGCACAGAGTTGAGACTGAGACTGGATACTGGGATGACGAGCGACTCAAAGTGGTGAGGTTTGAGGCCCGGGGCTGCAATGCATGGCTGCAGGGCCCCAGCAGGGAGCAGGATGGGGCTGCGGGTGGTGGGGGAGGGGGAAGGTGACAGCCAGCTTCCCACTGCTGCACGCACTCCCAGGGGGCAGGGGGGACCTGCACTCCCCCAGATCTGTACCCAGGGCAGGTGCAGGGTGTGGGCTTGGGCCCCTGCCCTGCTTCCCTCCCCCCAGGGCCTCCGCAGCCCAGTGGGCATGACCCAGTGCGACTGGCGATAGTGGGGCCATGCAGGGATCTCCTCGTTGCTGCTCCGCACCAGGAGTGCATGTGGTGGTGGGGAGCCAGCCTGCCCAAGTCCACAGCAGGGGGGAGCGGGAGAAGGGGGCTGCGGACCCAGGTCTGTAGCCTTGGCAGCTGGGGGCCCCCTCTGGCTGGGCTGGGGGGATCGGGCTGTGGGTGCCGGGTGAAGGGCACCAGCAAGGCTGTGGGTGGGGAGTGAGGGGCACCAGCAGGGCTGGGGGAGCTATGGGGGTGGGGGACTTTAATTTTAATCACGGATTTGGGGGTTTTTAGCAGAGAATTTGGTATTTTTTATCAGGGAAAACCAGGATCCCTCAGACGGAGACTGTCTGGTTTTGGGTGGAGATGTGGCTGGGACAGGGACAGGTTGGAAGAGATGCTGCAGAAGGGTCTACCTGCAGACCTGGGTCTGTCCAGACCTGGAATGGAAACTGGGAGTTTTGAGTGTTGCCATCCTCTGCTGTCAACAAGTATCTGGAACCCACTGGCACAGTGTTGATGTCTAGTTTCTACCAACACCCCCAGAGTGCTGGTACATAGAGGATGACAACCCATTATGCTATATCAGTTTCAACCTTAACTCAAATGGCAGAGGGTTCCGTGATGGATCAAAAGTTTCCAACCCTGCTGATGACCCTGGTGGGTTTCCAAAACTTGCTTCATGACTAAACTTCTAGAGTTTTTTGGATGACTTTTTTTAAAGACTTTAAGATGGAAACCTAAGTTAAAGAAAAATATATAATTTAGGCTACAAAGTTAAGGCTATAAAGTACAAAAGTGCAATCAAAAGCGAAGAAATGTCACAATTAAGCCTGCCTTTAATTCAACTCTAATTTCCACACTTGTGTGTATGCAAATGATTAATCAACAGATGATATGTTTTCCATAGGATTCCTGCCTCATTCAGTGCATAATATGGGCAGTGTGGACTATGTGAGCAACTATTCACTATTTTATCCTGGTTGCCAGTGAGTGGCCTTGCGTCTGTCTTTACTGCACATTATGGAAATCCTGCTCTGAAGATGATTACTAATTTCTGCATGGGTTTTTCTTTGGTATCATTACTGCAGCATCTAGTGCCTTGCAAACACATTAATTAATTTTCACATCATTGTTGCAGTATGTAAGGCTGATATTTTTACAGGCACAGGGAGTTTGTCACAATGGCAAGCTTCCTTGCGCACTTCATTGCATACCTGAACTCAGGGCAGTCCAACTGATGGCCCACAGGCCATGTGAAGCCCATGAGAGGCCAGCATAAGGCCTGGAAGCCCCTGCAGCTCTACCTCCCATAGTCATGTGGTGAGTCTGTGTACCATTTGTGCAACATTGGGGGGTTAGTGTTAGAGTGGTGCTAGTACTGTCTGCGTGGTGAGGAGAGGGGAGAACTCCTAGAGGCCTGCTCCTGAAGCATGTGGTTGGCACAGTGTGTGGCCCAGGGACCACACCACTGCTGTATGTGGCCCTGGTCATGAGGAAATTGGACAGCTCTTCCCTAACCTCACCACCACAGCAGGACCATCCTTTGTACTGAATGGTGCAGCTCCTGGGGTAAAATAACATATAAACACGTCATTAAGGACTACATCAGAACACGTATGTCCAGTAGGTGCAATGAAGATTGTGGAAACTAATACTGGAAACTGTCATCTAAGCTATAACTGGAAAGGTGCTGAAGGCACATCTCTGGAGCCAAATATCAGTCTGAAAATGACTCATCCCTGTGCCTCTGAAGCTCTCTTCTCCATGGAGGGGCTGTTCTAGCCCCTCTTTTTTTTTCTAGTCTCACTAGAGCATGAGTTCTCACCAGGGTGCTATATATAGGTTTGCAGTGATAGTTACCCTCCCACTCTAGAGTAGATGGGAGGGGGTCTTGAAACTCTTTCTTTGTAGCAGGAAGTGTCAGTCTGGATTGGAATTGTCACTTTTCAAAGGCTGCAGCTCAAGGGGGAAGCATTTCCTGTGTTCCATCAGGGAGGAGCAAGTTAGAAAGTGTTTTCCATCTCCCAGGATCCTGCCTACCTGAAGAGTTAATCCCATCACAGTCTAAGGGTACTTTTTACCAAGAGAAGCTCTTTGCCCATTGTCCAACTTAAGTATTTCCAGTAGAGAAAGGGAAGTATTCATGTTACCATGAAAGATGGGGAGGTTTCTTCTGGAATGCTGTGTAAGATTTTGACTCTTTTGACCCTTATTCATAAAAGAATTCCAAGTGGAAGAGGTGCAGAGAAGGGAGACTAAGATGATCAGAGAAATGGAGGGACTGTTATGTGAAGGAAGACTAGAACAGTGTGGCTTGTTTAATATGGCAAAACAAAAGCTGAGAAGGAATTTGATTGTGTACTCTGTGTATTTTGGAGAGAAACATCAGGGAAAGAAATGAGCCATTTAAGCCAAAGGACAAGGTTGGCACAAGAACTGTTGGGTATAAATTGGCCTTGGTTAAATTTAAGCTGGGAATAAGAAGATTTCTAACCATCAGGGGAGTGAGACTCTGGAACAGCCTCCCAATAGGAAGAGAGGGGGCAAGCAACTCAGCTTGTACCTTGATATGTGTACGAATGAATTGTGTGCGATCAGGAGACTGACCCTGATAACCAGAAGGACGTTTCTGGTACCGTGTTCATCAGAAGCATTTGGTAGCAGTGCTGCTCTTGGGAGTTGTATTGGCAGGGCTTTGCTGTCCCTGTCCTTCCATGCTCTAGCAGTGCTGACATCAGTTTCCCACTCCCACAGAGCGCTTTGACCATCACTGCCCCTGGGTGGGCAACTGCGTGGGGAAGAGGAACTATCGCTACTTCTACCTCTTCATCCTTTCGCTCTCACTCCTCACCATCTACATCTTCACTTTCAACATCGTCTACATGGCACTCAGTAAGTCCTGGTCCTGGCGGGAGGGGTGTGTGGTTCTGTGAGGCCAAGTGGGGGAGATCGGAATAGCACCGATAGATTTTGGGGGCCAATACCAATAGCCGATTTTTAAGGAGGCACATCAGCCGATACCAATCCAATTTCCAATATAGCTGCATGCAGCTGACAAGTCTGTTGTGGACAGGGGGGTGGGCCAGATGAGTGCCCCCCTACAGGGAGGGAGGGAGTGGGGCAGGGGCTGGGGCAGGTGCTGCCCGGCCAGGGTGGAGCGGGACGCAGGGTGGAACCGCGCCGTGTCCGGGGTGTGCGGAGTGGCTCCCGCCACTGCACACACCCAGGAGGGAACCATGGATGGGGGGCTGGATCTGCACAGAGAGGATGAGGTGGGCTGCGGATCAGGGCTAGGGCTGCACCAGGCTCTTCCCGGTGCATGGGGGCTGTGCTTGGGGCTGCAGGGCCACGCTCAGGGCTAGCGGCACTGGGAGGGGACCTCTGGGGGTGGGGAGGGGGGCTGCAGTTGCCTCAAATTTCACTGTAGCCCCTTCCCAGCGCCACCGTCTGCCCCAAGTGCAGCCCCCATGCACCAGGTAAGAGCCTGGCCCAGCCCTGGTTCCAGCCTGCAGCTGCAGCCCCCACAGCGCCCTCCTCCTGCACAGATCCAGGACACAAACCCCACCCCCGCATTCCCTTCCTGGGTGCACACAGCCGCAGTGCCTGCCCCACTCCCTCCCTCACCTCAGGGGCCTTGATCTCCCCCCTCCCCTTCCACCACAACAGACTTAGATTCATAAGATTGTAAGGCCAGAAGGGACCTTGGAAGATCATTGGGTTCAGTCCCCTGTACCAAGCAGGAAAGATAACTGGGGGTCAGGTGACCCCAGGAAGGTGACTAGTCTCCTCTTGATAATTTCCAGGGTAGGTGATTGTACCACCTCTGGAGGGAGCTTATTCCACAGTCTGGACACCCTGACCATGAACAAGTTTTTGCTAATGTTGAGTTTGAATCAGTCTTCCAGGAGTTTGTGGCCATTACTACTGGTTTTCCCCTTGGGTTCCCTAGTGAACAATTGCTCACCAAGCCCTTGATGTACTCCCCTAGCTTAGTGGTAAGGTGCTACCGGGTCCCCCTCAGCCTTCTTTTCCTCAGGCTGAAGTGTCCCAGATCCCTCAGCCTTTCCTCATATGGCTTGCCTTTTAAGACTGATCATACTGGAGGCTCTTCTTTGGACTCTCTCAAGCTTGTCCACATTCTTGCTAAAGTGTGGTACCCAGAACTGGATGCAGTACTCCAGCTCAACTGCAGTCTCACCAGTGCTGAGTAGAGCAGAAGAATCACCTCCTTGGTTTTGCTGGAGATGCATCGATTGATGCATGCCAGAGTGTTGTTTGCCCTACTGGCTACAGTATTGCATTGCCAGCTCATATTCATACTGTGGTCTATTATTACCCCCAGGTCCCTTTCATCTGTGATGCTAGTCAGCTTGGTGCTGCTAAGCCTGTAGATGTTGGGGGTTGCTCGTCTCAAGGTGGAACGCGTTACGTTTTTCAGTGTTGAATTTCATCAGGTTCCAATCCGCCCAGCTTGCTAGCCTGTCTAGGTCCACCTGTATCTGCAGCCTATCTTCAAGTGTGACCATGGTTCCCCATAACTTGGTGTCTGTGAACTTGGCCAGTGTGCTCTTCACCCCCACATCCAAATTGTTAATAAAGATGTTGAAAAGTACTGGACCAAGCACTGGCCCTTATGGGACATCGCTGCCCTCTCTTCACCACGATGAGACAGATCTGTTTCACTATGACTCTCTGGGTCCTATCCTGCAGCCAGTTTCTCACCCACCTGACTGTCCTCCAGTTAAGCCCACAAACCTCCAATTTTCTCGCAAGGACATTGTGGGATACTAGGTCAAAGGCCTTTTGGAAGTCAAGGTATACAATGTCAACCTGCTCTCTCATGTCCAAGTGACAAGTTACTTGGTCATAGAAGGAGATGAGTTTGGTAAGGCAAGACCTGCCCACAACTAAGCCATGCTGGCTGTCATTGGAAGTCTTACCTTATGCAAGCTTATCTCAGATAGACTCCTTGATGAACTTTTCTAGGATTTTCCCTAGGGTGGAAGTTAGGCTGATTTAGCCTATAGTTACCTGGGTTCTCCCTCCTGCCCTTCTTGTGGATGGGCACAACATTGGCCCTCTTCCAGTCCTCAGGGACTTCTCCAGAGTGCTATGAGTTGTGAAAGAGTTTCACCAGGGGTTCCCCAATGACTTTGACTAGCTCCTTCAGCACTCTCAGATGAAGATCATCCAGTCCTGCTGATTTGTATACATCTAATTTTTTTAATTGGTCATACACCAATTCTATGGTGATAGTATGAAGGCAATTATTCCTACCATGCTCATCCTCTACTCTACCTGGCGTGGTTTTCCCCTTGGTCCGGTGAAAGACCAAGGCAAAGTAGTCATTCAGGAGTTCAGCTTTTTCTTGGGTACCGGTAACCAGCTTTCCTGAGCTGTTGAGCAATGGCCATACACTCCCATTTGTTTTCCTCCTGTTCCTTATGTACTTAAGGAAGGACATCTTGGTGTCCTTGATTCCTGTTGCTAATCTAAGTGTATTCACTGCTTTAGCCTTTCTTATCTGTTCCCTGCAAATGGTCGCTGCTTTAGCCATCATGGAATAGTCCTCCTTGGGGCCCGCCCCAAGCTTCCATTGTTTATAAGCTTCTTTCTTCTTTCTTAAGAGGACCGTGTTTTCCCTGCTCCCCAGCCCTTCTGATACCTTTTCTCCGCATGGGAATGAACTTCCTTTGTGCTTCAAGGATCATGTCCTTAAGGAACAACCACTCTTCATGCACACCTTTCACCTTCAGTCCCTGGTCCTGCAGCACTTGCCCTACTAGTGACATAAGCTTGTTGAAATTTGCATTTTTGAAGTCCAGGACTTCAATCCTGCTACCCAATTTGTCTGCCTTACATCAGACAGTGAACAAGATGGTTTTATGGTTGCTGTTGCCCAGACTTCCCTCTATATTTAAGACAGTCACTTACCAGCTGCATGCAGCTCTCCATGCTGCCGGGCTGTGCTCCTTGCATGCACGGGCATTTATCAGCCAAATTATTAGCCATATCAGGCCAATTTATGATGCAATCAATTGTCTTTATGTTGGTGCCAGTCCAATATTGGACTGATGTATTGGTGCACCTCTACAGAATAGGGACAGTTTTGGAGGTCTAGTGACAACCAGGGGGCCTGACAAACATGGGCAGGGATTGACTGGGAGGGACTTGTCCAGGCTTGTACTGATTTCTGAAGATTAACTTCTGTTTGTCCCCTCTGTGTTCCCAGAGTCCTTGAAGATTGGCTTCCTGAACACTTTGAAAGAGACCCCAGGAACATATCCTTCTATACCATGCTGACAGGCCTGCTTCATCCTTTCTGCCTTGGGACAGGGTGAAGGGTGGGGCACAAAAGCACAAGGGGCCTCTTTTCTGCCTTTGAGGAAGGTGGAATCTTGTTTTTGTTTGTTTGTTTTAGTATGGGATGCAGCTGGAAAGAAGGTAGAGCACAGTGCAGCACTCATCCCCAGCATCACGGGAGGGGAGTGCATAGTATCACGTGGGATGCAGCCAGCTGCCAGGAACATGGGTGGGCAAAGTGCCTTGGGTTTTGGGTCCTTAACCAGCTACTTACGGTCCTGGAAGTGCTTATCTGCTTCTTCACCCTCTGGTCAGTAGTGGGTTTAACTGGCTTCCACACCTTCCTGGTAGCACTGAACCAGACAACCAATGAAGATGTGAGTGATGTCCCTTTGTGCCATTCTGCCTCTTCCCTTGCCCTTTTGATGCTCCCCTTTCACCAGTTCTCATTCATAGTTAGAGTCCTCTGTGTCGACAGTGGAGGGAAGTTGCATATTGTTGTAAGCAGTATGTCCAGAGTAGACCAGCACCACACTGGTTCTGTACTGCCACAGGTGTTTGAAGTATAATACAAGTAGTCCCTGAATTGGACAAGGACTACTGCTGCTAACAGATGTGGGAAAAAATAAAAAGAGCAACAGTACTTTACCAGAGGAGGAAGTTAGTTGGTTTGACCCAGCTCCCCAGTATCTGTATAGATTGGGTGCTTCAGCGGGCCTTGTTGGCACTTTTCAATCAGCTATTAAATAAGTGCCAAAAAGCCCTGCTGAAGCGCCCAATCTATATAGATTTTGGGTGAGCCATGTCAAATTAACACGATGCCTCTTCTGGGTATGCGCTGCACTTGTTGCAGGGTTGCACCAAGCTGAAAAGTGAAGTGCAGAGCTGAAAGTAAAATGCCTTTTTTTTTCCATACGTGTAAGCAGCCTAATTGTCTCCCTACAGTCCCTGCTTCATCAATGGAGCAAAAATAAAGACAAGACCCTTATTCTCTCCCATGCCTGGGGTGCAAGTGGTGAGTGTGTGGCTGTCATGCCATTGCTTCATCCCTTACAGGGATAGCTACCAGGTAGCCTGAGGCTTGCCAAGCAGGGTCAACTGAAACAATAGGGCCCTGTTGTGACATGTCAGTGCCCTCTGACTCCCCTCCTTCTGCTGTGTGTGCAAGTCAGAGACAAAATACTCGTGGTGGTCAGTGGAGGCTGCTGACTGGTGCCGAGGCTGAAAGGCAGCTCATGCTCTGTTTGGGTGGTGTTCTCGTCTTTCAGATTAAGGGGTCATGGACTGGGAAGAACCGTGTGCAGAATCCCTACAGCCATGGAAACATTGTGAAGAACTGCTGTGAGGTGCTGTGTGGGCCTCTACCACCTAGGTAAGTGCTGGGGGAGGAGCCCAGGTTTGCTCTTCTGAAAATGTTAGGCCTTTGGTAGGCCTCTGGTCACTAAGGAGTCAGTGTGTTTGAGGCAGAAGGCACAGCCTGGCCTTGCCAGCCCTCATGTGCAGCTAGACATGGGGCAGTACCAGCTGTTCTAAGGGAGTAAAGTGTGGTGTCTACAGAACACAAGGGGTTTGTTTGGAAGCACAACCAGGATTTCCCAAAGGTGCTTGTGAGAGCAGCAACTCTCACTGGAGGGGTGGCTTCACCCCCTGACCTCAGCCTGTTTTGCCTCTACCAGTTGGGGCAGACTTTGCTTAATCCATAAAGGAGGTAAAAGGCCCTCCCTCCCTTCCTTTTTCTGCTCAAAGACACACCCCCTCCCTCTCCTCTTTCCCCTCTCCACCAACTCCCCTGCCTGCTGCTGTTGCTTTCTTCACTACTCTGGGGCAGAGAAGCTCCAAAGCAGGCTGGGCTCAGCTGGGTGGGGAAGGGTGGTAACAGTGTGGTGAGACCCCCACCCTGCCCAGTCCTGTGAAACAGTGTGGTAGTTGACCCCACCCTGCCCAGTCCTGGAGCAAGCACAAGAGGGAAATGGAACCCCTTCTGTCAGGTAGAGAGTGGAGAGAAGGGGCAGAGAGGGGGTGTGCCTTTGAGCAGGAAGGGGGAAAGGAGTATTTTCATATGCTTTAGAGATTTAAAAAAGCCCCTGGAGGCTCCATGGTACAGTGCAATCCAAAAGAGAAGTGTAGCCCTGCCACTGCACCCCCTCTGGATCTGCCCCTGGGCCTTTTGTGAACTTGCCTAACTTACAGAGATATACATTCCTGGGACATGATTAGAGCATCAGTCCCTCCTCTGACAAAAAGTGGCACCCCCTCTGAATGGCACAGCCTGGAGACCTGGTCCCTAGGGAGCTAGCTTCCTCTTCCAGAACTGAGGCTGTGATGTCAGGAGACTTCAGTCTTCTGCTTCAGACCTAGCCATGATGTCTCACATGAGGCTCGTGCTGGCAGGTGAGCAGGTGGGGGTGTTTTTCCAAGTGTGCAGATATTAAGAAGCCAAGATCAAGAGTAGAATAGATCTGTTCTCGAGAGGTTCCCTCCCATTTGTTGTGTTCATTCTAGTTTCACACTGATAGGGCTGCACCTTGCTGTTCCTCTAGCAGAGGGCTTGGGTTTGAGACCTAGGTATCCCTTCAGCCTTCCTAACTCTGTTCCTTGCAGCGTGTTGGATAGACGGGGCATCTTGCATCAGGAGGAAAGCAGTGCTCGGGAGGAAAGCAGCGCTCGAGGGCCCAGCATGCAGAAAGAGAGCAGTGCTCAGGAGCCTGGCACCACTCAGGGGCTCGGTGCGCAGGAGGACAGTGGTTCCCAGAAGGGCCGCAACAGCCCTACACATCATGCTGCCGTAAGTGCTCCTTTAACACAGGCAAAGAAGGGCATGTAGAAGTCCTTTTCATAATTGCCCTACTCCCATGCATCCAGGAACTCTACACTCCTCTCTCATTGGCAACACTGACCAAAGGCCCCAGAGCTGGCCCTATAGATGTGGTGGCTGAGCTGTTGGGAGTGAGGAGGAGAAACACAGTTGTCCTTGGAGTAAAGCTGAGTCCTGGGTTGAGGGACCTGCTGGCAAGGGTCTTGCTTCAGGGGCATCTGGGTGGATGGAGCTGTTAGGTGGCTGGCCCCCTTGGCCTTCTTGCCTGCGGTGCCACAAAGCCAAGCATGGTCTGCTGGGATTGTATTTCTTGATGGTGGCTGGTCACCTGCACTCCACAGCAGGAACAGTGTACATCATACTGAATAGTGAGCCCCAAAAGCATGGGCCTTGGTCTGGCTTTTGGTTGCCAGAGTCTTTCCTCTAAGTTGAATTTTTCACCCCTAAGTTATCAGCTATGTGTGAGGGCATCTCTACAGCACCTCCTGTAGAAGTGCTATTACACAGGTTGCTGTACCTGTTGTTCCTCATTTCTTTCCTTTCCCTCCCCTTCCACATCCATCTCCCCAGTTTCAACCTGCTGCCCCTTTCAGCAGTGCTGCTCATTGCAGACTCAGCTGAGAATGTAAACTAACCAGAAAGAACAGTGGTCATGGGACTGCTGGGCTTGTTGGAGGGGAGGGTGGATATGGAGGCAGGCAGGCAGGGCTCCTTCAGGAGTTATTTCTCTCTTCCTCTCCATACTGCAGCTCCTCTACATGTGGCCTTTGTTGGAAAACCAGCTCAGTTTACACTGTGAGCAGCCCAGGTACTTCTCAGGTGCTGCTGAGCACCGTGGCTGGGCAGTGGCTTCTGATTCCTGGTACTGATTTAAAGTAGTATTTTGGGCCTCAGGTGGGGATAAGATGTGATGATCCTTTATTCCATTCTTGTAAGCTCTGTAGAGTCTTATACAGGGGGAAACCTCTGTCTGACAGTCATTTTCTTTGGTGTTAACTGAGCTTTTGAAAACAGCCAGTTTAAATGTCCTGGGTCTGCTAAGTCAAATGTAATCCTGTTCCATGTAAGTCCATACAAGACAATAAAGACAGAGAAGGTAGCCTCTCTCTGGCAGCCTTGCTGCTGGGCAGTGCAGGCAGCACATCTCGGGTACTCTGAGATCAGGCAAACTTCTACCAGCGCTGGGCTGTTCACAGTGCTGCTTCAGCAGGCTCTCATGTCAGTGCCACAGGAGGGGAGCTGTATTGGCAGTGAAGCCAAACTCTTGCTAGATAGGAGTCATGATGGGAATTCAGTTAACATTCAAGACACTGGTGGCAGGGACTGCAAGCTCATGTTCCTTGCCAGGGTCAGCAGCCAGACATAGTTATTTGAGAGCTTTGAGTCCATTTATGGCAGGATGTCTTTTAGGCCAGCGGGGGGGTGTCATGGTGTGCCAAGGCATGGCAGCAGCACCAGCCATGGTGATGAAGCGTTCGCTTTCCCACCCATGCTTTCTGCAGCTCCCTGGCTGTCATGGTGATCCTTGCTAGCCATATCCAAAAAGGGCTGGCAATCTCATGCCACTAATCCTAACCGGTCACCATATGTTCTGGTGACTCCAAGTGCCCCTTCCTAGACTGGCTTGTTATCATGCCAGCCTATGCCTTTACCAGAGCCATAGAGAACCCTTCATACTTTGCACAATCCATTTTTCCCCGTCTTTCCTGAAGGCCTCTCTCTACTGCACTTATCTTTGCTTTCCAGGTAGAACTAGGGTCCCTACCATAGCCGAGCAGTGCTGTGCACATGTGTAATTGGAAGAGCACACATTCTTATGGGATGGGAGAGTACCCCTCCAAACCATCACTCCCTCTCTCTCCTCTCTCACCAGGTCCCCTTGCCACCACTGAACAGTGTTAAAACACCGGAGGAGACTCAGCCGACTGTTGTGGAGCCCCCAGCCCAACCTGGGGATGATGGTCAAGCAGAGCACTAGCCTGTTTGAGCAGGCGAACTTTCTTGTTTTGTCTGATCAAAGCTGGAAGCGATTGAGGAAAGGAGATGATGGGCCGGATGGTGTGCAAGCGCGCGAGTCCTCATGGCTGTTTTGCTTTAGTCTTTATCAACTTCTGTGTGGGGCTGGTACGGTGCAGACTGCAGAATGCCTGGCACAGGTGCCAGTGGATTGAGTGTGAGCAGAGCATGTCAGTCGTTTCACTGGGTCCATCTCTACCCTTGCAGCTGGTCTCCCTGCGTGGCTGAATTGGGACCTGCTTGATCTGTGGTTGGTCCTCACCGGTTAAACACTAGTCCCTTTGGTTTTGATCATCTCTCTGCCAGGTCCCAGCTGTGGCCTATGACTGATCAGCTACCTTGTAGTGGAGTTGCCCAGACTACGGCAGAATCGACCTGCTCCCTGTTGCTAAAGAATCATGATGGGAAGGAGAATGCATCCATAGTGGTATTCTTCTTCCTCCTCCTTCCCCCAGACTGTGATATTGTTTTATTGCTTAAGGTGGCAGGGATGGCCAGGAAATATTATTTTGTTGCCAAAAGGGCCAAAATCCACAGGGGAGGTGTTCTGTTTGGAAACGCTTTTTAAGTAGCTCTCTTCCCAGACTTCTCTCTCTCTATATGGTGCCACAGGTGTAAGAGCACATAGGGGATAGTCTTTACATGGCAGCCTCCTTTTCTTTCCATGGGAGCCCAGGCTGGGTTTCCCAGGGTGGCTAGCAGCAGCATACTGTTCTGCTACATGTCTTGGCCCTGCAGTACATGCAGATTGGTCACGGTAGGAGTAAAGCAGAAGGGAGGAGCCCTTGGGTGTCTGGCTCCAGTGCTGAAGTTGGGGCAGTATTTGTTATTTGGTGTCTTCTCCTTTCTAGTGTCTATCCCAAGTGAGGGTGCTTCCCTAGGGAAGCTGTGCGGGGGCTGAGTAGCCCTTGCTCTCAGGAAGTTTAATCTCAAGTTCACTCTTTTTTTTCCCTTTCTCCCTCCATCTCAGTCTCCCCCACTGGCTTTTCAGTGTTCTCTGAGCCCCCTCTCCCCTGCTCACTAGTGCTTGCAGACTACTCTGTATACAGACAGATGAAGAGGGGTTTTGTTAAGGACTTGGCCTTGGCCTTGGCCTTGGCCTAGTTGTGACCCAAGGAGTGAAATGGGGAAACTCCCAGGACCTCCTAGGGGCTCTGGTAGGCCACTGTGGAGTGCTTGGGCAAATCTCCCTGGCTCTTGCTTGACTCCATCTGTCTGATCTCCATACATAATGGATTTTTCTGGTAGGTACCCAGCCCTCATCACAGTATTTCATGGCCACATCCTACCTATCTGTAGCAACTCACATTGGCAGGGCCTGCTGTTGCAGGAGGAGCTGTCTGGCACCTCACTGCTCCTGCCCTATGTGACCTAGTCCCAGTCAGTGGGATGGGAGAAGTCTGTACTAGAAGACAATTCTACTATGTCTCCTTTATAGCAATTCATCTCACTTCCTCCTTCTCCCCTTTTCTCCCCCTCCCTCCCTCTTAGAGATGGCTCTTTCAAGGGAATCCTGCAATTTCCAGCCCCTGGAGATGGATTCCTTTTGTGCATCTTCATGGGAGATGGTGCTGCTTGCTGCCAGCTTATCTGAGGCAATTTCCATCTGTCCCCAGACCCAGTGCCTGGTGACTTACTGGAGGAAGGAAGGGCAGCCTTTTCTTCTCCTCCCCTATCACTTGTTCTTTGACTTTCCCTGCAAGCTGCTGAGGGCGAAAGGAGTTGGGCCTAGTGCTGAAAGTCACTTGGGTCTCCAGCATTAATAAGGAGCTCCACATTTCTCTCACATTCCTCCCACTCCTTTGCCCCCATGCCCACTGCCCTGTGTGTTTCTCAGTTGACATTGGGTTTGATGCTTCATTTGCTCTGCTTTGCTTAGGATGGGTGACCTGCACCATGTTCCATCTCCTGCCCCTGCAGTCTGTGTGCAGAGCAGCACTGAGCTCTCTGGGGCAGGGGGTGCTGCTGCCTACCAAAAACTCTGTTGGTAGGCAGCAGCACCTCCTCCCCCCCTGCCTGAGAAGTGCTGTGTAGACTTTGGGGAGGAGCAGGAAGTAGGACTTCCATCCTGCTACTAGGAGTAGGATGCACAGGCTTGCTATCCCATTAGGATCCCCTTAGCTTTGCTGGCCTGGATGGCCTGGTCCCATGTCCATTCAGCCCTAAAGGACCTCTCTGTGTGATCCTGATCTATCCTGCAAACAGGGGCTAAGTTTTTGCATGTCTGCTCTTCTCTTTTTCCTACACCTTGAGCAGGGCTCAAAGCTGCCATTTCCTTTCAACTACACTGCAGGCAGTACTTCCTAGTGCCTGTCCCCTCCAAGATCTGCCTCCTCATTGTGGATGAACATAGAGAAGGAGCCATGAGTCTGACTGACCTTCTAGTATTGCTGAGCCCTCAGCCAGGTTCTGGTTCCCCATATCCCACTCTCTGGAACCATTATTCCTGCAGCATAGGCTCAGGTGTCTGCCACTATTGGTGCTCTGCCCTGGCCCATGCTATTGCCCTCTGCTGAAACTGTGGTGGAGGCAGCAGCCAGTCCTCTCCTGCCTGTCCTGCCACACTACTGACCAAATCTCTTACTTGTTGCAAAAAATGTATTTTTGTTTTTACTAATCTATTTTCTAATGTTATGTGTTAAACTTTGCCCACGGGGGCAGGGCACAGACGCTGCTGGCACCTGCCGCTCCTTGTCTGCTCTGTTCAGGTTCCAGTGAAGGAAGCTTTTTTGGAAACAGTAATGAAGGAATCTTAATCAGTTTGAAAACCCCTGAGGTGTGGCCTGTGCCTCTCTGCGTCTGCCTGCACCTCACTCTGCCCCACCAGGCCCTTCTGTGCAGCTCAGCCAGCTGTTGGTGTACAGCCCTGTTCTGTGCTCCTTGCTGGGTCTGATGGTAAGCATGTCTCCCCTCTGCCAGCCACCAAGGATGCTGCACTTTATTGTTACTTTCCTATTTTGACTCCTGCCTTTTCTCTGGATACCAGCCAGGGGCAGTGGCCCTGTTGACCCCAGGGGCTGAAGGTAGCTGTGCTTGTGAGGCCCTCCAGGTTGCTGCTGGAGGGCCTACTTCCCTTCTGTGATGGGGAGCTTTCACTTACTCCCAAACGGCATTTCCTCTGCCTACCCAGCGTTCCCTCTAAGCTGTGCAGGTGTGCTCATGCTGTGCTGCCAGGCGCGCCTGTGCGGCTGTGCACACCACACAGCTTAGAAGGAGTGCAGCTCATTGGCCTTGGGAAATGACAGCTCAGCACGGGAACCAAGGAGACATTACAAGGGCAAAGTCTTCTAGCTAGATGCAAAGTCCAATCTTGCATAACATACACGGCAGAGCGGGTCTGACCTAGGGTGTGCTTGCATGGCCAAAGGCAGCACCACCTGGATCTAGCTCAGTGCTAGCACTGAATCAAAAGCAGTATAGCCATGTATGTGCAGCACTGACCTTGCTGTTCTGAGAAGCAGAGCAGATTAACTCATCCACAGTACCCTGCTCCCATGTCTATACTACTTCTCAGTGTGCGATTATGGGGCTATTCCAGCAGCTTCCTTCTGCCATATAAACATCCTGATGTTCTCTGCCACATCCTGCTTCATGCTGTACTGGTTCCTCCATGGCCTTTTTATGCAACCTACCTTCCACCATCTTCACCATGCAGACAAATGAATATATAGCACATGTACAAGTCAGGTTCAAGAGAGAAAAAATTCCTTGTTCCTTACTCTCTCTGTTATACTGTTTATAATGGGACAGCTCCATCCTTGTGCTTCTCTTGAGAATCCCAGCTGTAGCTGGCTCAAAGAAGGGTCAGCAATTTGGACTATTAGCCACACGTGTGTGGAGAGTTAAGGGGGACAGAGTGATGGAGCAGGGTCTCTCAGAGACCCTCCGGTGTGGAGGAGAGGACCATGAAGAGATACTGCAGTGGAAGGGGAGATGGCAGCTTCTTTCCGGGGAGGGGTTCAAACTGGCTGCAGCCCAAGGGAAAATGGCCTTGTGCCAATTCACCCCCTGTGAGGGGGTGCTGCCTGGGATCTAAAGCCCTTTTACTATGATCCAGGCAGACACAAGATTACGCTGTGGAATGCTGGGTAGCAGAGCATGCTTTATTGAGATGAAGCACAAGGTAGTGAGTTAAATGCCTAAACTTACGTGGCTGGAACACAGGCTGAGAAGTCACAGGTTTGTAGACTCAGCCCTTGGGCCAAACGGAACCTGATTTAAGCATATGTAATTCCCATGAATAGCTGTGGGTGTTGCAACCTTGTCTCCTGGGATGAGTTGGCCTGTTACTGTGTAGGTAAGATGCGAAGGAACCCTGCTCTGGTGCAAAATGATGTGCCAAGAACATGAGAACCTCCCTGCTTAGTTTCTTGGCTTGTTATCCCAGTGGAAAGCTAGCCAGAAAACAGCTTCAGTGAAGATGATCTTGTCAGAGTTGCTCATGGGCCTAGTCCTGCTTGGGACTAAGTATGTAGCTCTTAAAGCTAGGTGGGCCCCAGCTGCTCTGCATGCCATTGGCCTCTGTTGCACCATTAGCTGCACTCGTAATCAGTTTGCCTGTCCCACAGTGCTGCTGGGACTGTTGGTCGGGGGCTACCTAAAGTAAAGTGTGAGCTCTGTAGAGGTGGCTCTGCACCTGGCAGGACTTGCTCTTCCTCTTCTGGCTGCAGTCCTGGGGATACCTGGAGCAAATGCTGAGGATTCAAAAGCATAATCTCTGTATCTGCTCCCTTCCTCTTTTCCATACTCAGGACAGGCACCTCATGCCCAGGCAGGCTTAGCCTGCCCCCCTGTGACTAGCCCCATTCCTGCAGCAGAGGGAGGATCGATCTTGTGCAAGAGTTTGATCCAATTACAGACGGTGTTGTGAGACACAGCTACACCTCTTTCCAGCTTCCCAAACAAGCACTGCTGTGCTGGCCCCAGAGTCATGTCTGAGATGGGTGAGTCATAACCTAGTGCAGCTTTGCTGTGCTGAGCCAACTCAAGACTTGAGTCAGGGAAGCTGCTATAGCATGGTTGCATTTCAAGCCCCATGCTACCCTCTGACCAAGAACAACCAGCTATGGGACCTGATCTCTGTTAAACCTGCTCCCAACACAGCTAGCCACACTTTGCTGGAAGTGAAAAATGCCTGTTACTACAGAAAGGAGGCTACAGTTTCTCCCACAGCTGTCCATCCACCATGTCATGAGGAGACAGGTTTGGTCATAACGCCATCACTGTTACCTGCAACCTGTCTACACCACTCCTGGATCAGCCTAGAAACCCATGTCTCAGACCTCCTCGCCCAGTGCCTGGGCCCATTCCTCTTCCAGCACCAGCTGCTACCTCCACCTGTAATCACCCATCCCAGTAGGGAAGAACCCCCCCCTCCCCTCCCACTGGCACAAAGTTGCCAGAGTAGCTTGTGTTTGGTACTGGGGGTCTTCAGCTGCGAAGTGCATCCCCACTGTACATAAGCAACACAGCAACCAGGCTTGCAGTATCTGCCTGGGTGTGCATGGCCTAATAGTTGACCTTTGAGGAAGGAGCTTGGCAGCTACCTAGTGAGGCCCCTACCACCAGCAGAGGCCTGGCAGAGGAGGCAGGAAGCAGTAGGGACTGGGCAGAGGAACAAATTAAAACAGTCTTTGTGGCTATGAATATGCAGTGCGGGGGGCATGGCATAAAAGTGAACTGTTACAGAAGCAGGTCCTGTGTCTGCCAGAACAGTGGCTTGGGGCAGGGCCTGGCACAGTTCTTAGGGGAGAGGCCTATCCTGGTGTAGGAATTGTGGCAGCCATGAAGTATTCCCAGTGTCCCTTCCTGTGATGCTCACAGTGCCAACAAAGAATTTGTCCCGCTTCAGACATCTCCCAATACTGGTGGGGGCCTGAGCAGAGTGTCCCAGTGGTGGCCCCTGGCAAAGCAGATTCAGTGCCTGGACGGGGCAGTTCTGGGAGGCTTGGGGCAAGGCAGGGTGGGTTCAGGAGGATTGTTCCAGAGAGAGAGCCTGAAGTTGCTCCTCTGTGCTGTTCAGCTCTGTTTCATCTCGGCTGTTCTCCAGTGTCTCTGATCCCTCGAAGCAGCCTGAGTCACGGGGAATATCCCCTTTGAGGTCCAAGGGCGAGGGGTGTAGCTCAGAGCTCTCTCCTTCTTCGGCCTCACTGGCTGCTGTGAGGAGAGGGCAAAATGTTAAGAGGGCAAGGTCTGCTCCTATATAGAGCTCTGAGCAGGCCCAGGCTGTCTTGAACTAGCTCCAGGGATTGGTCCTACTGCCCATTACTATGAGGCTGCTCCCTGGGGTTGTGTGGAAGTATTCTAAGTAAAGGCATGCGACCTGCTCTAGGCCTAGCTGCCTGCGATAGGCGAGCCCTTGGCATCCTCCATCGCACGTTGCACCTACCCCCAGAAGCACTGAGCAGCCTATAGCTGGGCTCTGGTGCTCCCGTTTGCTTGGCTGGGGACACTCCCTTGGCAGAGCAGTTGCTACATAGGATTGCAGATTGAAGCCCTTGCGGTCCAGCGCAGGGCAGTCTGCCTCTGGTTGCCCACTGGGGCCCTAGGGATTGGCCTGGCCTAGCTGGATAGGCCTGCCTACTGGGGTGTGTGCTCAGAGCAGGAGCCAGACTGAGGGGCCATATCTGGCCTGCAACTCACAGGCTTGTGGGTCTATGATTCCTAGGAGGAAAAGAGTTTAGGGGGAGGGGGCTGTGGCAACTGTCCATTCAGGTAGACGACACTCGAGTCAGTCTCTTACTGTCATAGTCCAACAGCAGGTCAGCAGCTGTGAGCAGCTTGGCACGGTGCTGGGGGTCCATGATATTCAGCTCATTCAGGTGGGTCTCCCGGAGCTCCTTGAAGTCCTCCAGGGTCTGGTAGCCATTCAGTAACAAGGTGGAGATGTGCTCCTGCAGAGGGGGAAAACCAAGAACGTGGCACAGCTGCACAGTCATGGCAGTTGGAATTGAAAGCGAGGACCCTGGTGATCCCGCAGCCACAAGATTTGCCCAGGGCCTCACCAGGCTACAGAACCATGATTTTCTTTAGAACATCCTAGTCCAAGCACATGCCTAAATCCCCAGCTGCCAGAAGCTCCAGCTACCTTCTAACAGCATGGCAACTTCCTGACAATCAGAATGCTAGAGCTGATGGCAGAAAGTAAGGGAGTGGCCTTTGCAATCTACAGCCTACAGGCAGGTCATGTACACCAGGCTAGCACAGAGTTAATGTTTCCTAGAGCTGCCTTGGGCACCTTCCACACAGTGTGAGTGGATAATCTTTGCTCTCTGAAAGGCAGGAGTCACCACTCACACAAGACAACCTAACTCTACCCTGTGGAGCAGGCACTAGCTCTGAGCGTGGCTCAGAGAGGAGCACTGCAAGTTGGCTTGAGGAATGATGCAGACAGCATTGGCATGTGTTGCCTTGTGCTCCCCAAATTTCATTGCAGCAGTTGCCTATCTGCACTCCAGTTGCATTTGCTGCACTCCATGGAGCTGTGCTGAATGGCAGGCAGCGATGATGCTGATGTGAAGAGAGGAGCACATACACCATCAGGGCTTAAGTCTGCCTCATTTCAGCATGGAGTTTGTGGGCAGTGGTAGAAGGCTGATCGCACACATGGCAGTGGTCCCCAAGGGGAAAGGTGGGCTAATAGAAGGCAAAGCCTTGGAAAGAGCCCTCAGGCAGCGAGTGACCAGCAGCAGCGGTTCTGGAGTCTGGGCTGGTCTGTGCATGCTAGACTCTGTGTGGGTACAGGTAGCTCTTGCTCACTGTTCCTGATCCTAATCAAGGGAGAAGGCAAAATGCCATCCTGCTGTGTTTGGGGTCTGGCCCCAGAGTTGGGCAGAGCACTGCCACTACTGGGACACTGTATTGAAGGCTGTGTTGAAGACCTGAGGTGTACCTCACTCTCATTCTTCAAGAGTAAAGCATAAGCTACTTGCCATGTGCTGTGGGGGCAGGCTTAAGGTACCTGTGGGCAGCCTGGCAAAGTTCCTGGGCACAATTTCTATGCACACTGTTTCTCAGTCTGACTCCTGACTCCTTGGCAATGCACATCCCAGTCGCAGAGAACCCTGGGGCAATCACAAGACTAATGCACAGGGGCACAGCTACACATGAAATTAATTTGATGCAATAAATTCTAGCATATTGCTTCTGGGCACAGGGTTTACACAGGCACCTGGGACTGCAGCATGTTGAACTGGAGCAAAGTAGCCCTGGATAGCAGGGGGCTCTGGGGGGTGCAGCCTGCTAGCCTAGGGCTGCACCGACCTGGCTCAACATGCTGCAGAGGGACTGGCTGAGGCATGAGGGTTTATCCAGTGTGGGGATAGCCAGCCCTGTGCTGTAGCACCCTCATGCCTCAGCCAGCTCGTCAGCATCTACACATGCATTACAGTGGAGTAAATAACTGCGTCATAGGATAGGATTTGTGTTGGGCAATACTAGCCTATGGCAGAGTTAATTAGTTTACTCCAGCCTAATAGCACCACGTGTAGATGCTGACACTTTAGTGTGGAGCTAATTAGATGCACCTAGGGTGTGTCTGCCTGCCCAGTATATCCCAGCTTTTCTTGTGTGGGGCATGGGGGGGATTGAGAAGTCCCTCCTAGGAGCAGCAGCATAGCCTGGGGAGGCAGGAGCTGCCAGAGGCTTGGTGTGGGTGTTTCTTGGAAGAGTGGAGTTTGGGGGATAAAGCTAATGCTCTCTACCCCTACACAGCTTTGCATCCCCTTTCCTCCCCCACCCCCTGCACTGCTTTCCTCTCTCTTTCTGAGAAGCAGCAGCAGCATGTTGGTGCCTGCTTCACCTCCTTTCTTCACACTGGCATGCCCTTTCAAGAACTGTCCCAGAGCTGTTTTCCATTCCTTCCACTTCCATCTCATACCCCTGTGCTCTCCCCTTCTCAGCACCCCTCCCCCCCATCCTCTCTTTCTTTTCAAGCCCAGCCTTCAGGAAAGCAGTGCCCACTCCACTAGCTAAGAGCAACACTTCGAGAACTGAAAAGCAGACTTGTGGCTTCACAGTGCGGGAACAGCAGCTCTCTGGCATGCGGCTTTCTAGAGCAGTTGTTACCTGATCTGTACGTGTGCTGCAGGGTCCGCCATTGCCAATCCAACAGCCACAGCCAGGAGGTTTTCCCAAGAACTGAATGGGCTGTGGCAGATATGGGAGCTGCCTAGGGTTGTGCTTCCAGCTTCTTTTTCTTTTTAAATGAAAGCTGGGCCTTGCAAAAAGCCCAGCTCTCCTGAATCTCTGCTAGGGCCCAGAGCTGGTGGCAGAGGCAATCAGCACCTTTCCTTCAGGGAGTGCTGCAGAGATGATGCTTGCCTGCCCTGCCCTCTCCCCATGTGCCCTCTCTGGAGCCACCAGCACCTGCCCTGCTCTCTCACCTGCAGATTTATGCGCTCCAGCAGCTCGTGCAGGGTCTTGGGCTTGGGTCGTTTGCTCTTGCTCTGCCTGCGGCTCTTCCGCACGGGCACAGTTTCCTCAGGGATGATGTCCACATAGATGAACTTGAAGGAGCCCACCCTGTTGTTCAGGAGCCCAGTCCAGGTGCCCACAGGTGGCTTCTCGATGATCCTGATGATGTCCCCCTTCTGTGACAGGCACCAAGAAGGCCCATAAGTAACTGCCCCACCCAACACAGGAGGGTTGTGCCTAGGCCAGGGTGGGAAGCAGAATGGTCCCAGCCCACTCTAAGCTATGGTTGCTGGGGCTGGGCCTGTGGTGAGGAGTGGGGACACTGGGAAGCCTGTGCTGTGCTGCTTCTCTATACTTCCCGTAGTGCCACCAGGCTTGGGTAGGGCTGGCCTACTAACACTGTGACACCTGGCTGCTCCTCTGCACTGCATGGGTTGCCTAAGATGCCAAAAAGCAGAAGGTATCCAGAATTTGGGTATCAGCATTTGGAAGGTACCAGGGCAGGCAACTTAGCAGTGGGGCTACTATCACCGACCTTTTCTGGCCCAAATGCTTGCACTCCCTCCAGGCAGGCAGCTATCCTAGAGAAGGTCATAAGGACAGGGAACCCCGAGATGAATGACTTGCAGTGGGGAAAAATTTGGGTTGGTGCCCTTGGTGTAGGTCCCTGAGTAGAGAGCAGGTTTTCCCAGTGCTGTCCTATGAAAAGTATGTCTCGCCTTGGTTCGTGCTCCAGATCTGCCAGTCATGGGGTGTCTTCGGATAGGCCTGACTCCTGCTGTCTTGTAGTTCAGGCTGTGACCTCCACTTGCACTGAATGGGAGTTACCCATTCCTACATTTGACATTTAGGGTCCTACCATGCACACAAGGGAGGCGTGGGCCCTTTGTTGCCTTTCCATTATGCCCATGTAACTCCAGTGACTGACTAACAGTTTGGACAAAGGGAATCTTAGTTGAAGATGCAGCACTCCAATCTCACTTAGCTATTGGGAGAGAGGCCAACAAACACCCCAAGTCCCCTCCCTTGCAGTGAAGCCAGGGCTCCTGGCTCAGTGATTTCTAGCACCAAGCAAGCAGGGGCCTTCTCCTCCTGACCTTGTTTCTGCAAACCCCAGTCCTGGCCTCTGTAGCAGGAAT